TTGCATTTTTAGTAGAGACGGGGTTTCACCGTGCTGACCAGGATGGTCTCGATCTCTTGACCTCATGATCCACCCGCCTCGGCCTCCCAAAGTGCTGGGATTACAGGCTTGAGCCACCGCGCCCGGCCTACAATTGTTTTTTTAATAGATGCAGTTTCTTACTCTGTCACCCAGGCTAGAGGGCAGTGGCACGACCATAGCTCATTGCAGCCTCCACCTCCCAGGCTCAAGAGACTCTCCCACTTCAGCAGCACAAACCAGCTAATTTTTGTATTTTATTTAGAGGCGGGGTGTTGCTATGTTGCCCAGTCTGGTCTCTAACTCCTGGGCTCAAGCAATTCACCTACCTTGGTCTCCCAAAGTGCTGGGTTTACAGTTGTGAGCCACCGCGCCTGGCTTACTTTACAAATATTTTATACAGTATTCTTTCATAGCTACTTAATGTCTAATTGCAAATAAAAACAGCAGCATAAAGGAGAAAACTCTATATGGTTTTTTATAGACGGTGAAAAGGCATTTGACAAAATTCAGCCAGTTTCCAGGGTGCACAACCCACATTTCATTCTACATGACTGGTGCCCCCTGGCGCCTGACTCAGGCAGGACTGGTAGCTACAGGAGAGTCCCAGCAGCCGCAAGAGAAACTAAAGGAAACGCCAACATTTTAAAAGCCACTTGCCGAAGAAACTCTCACTGCTCAACTCTCACATGTAAATTTCCACCCACATCAGAAACAAGCCCCGGATCATTATTCAACATTGTTTCAGAGATTCTAACTAAATCAAACTGACAAAATAAATTGGTATACTGGTAAATTTGTATCTATAAAAAAAACAGATTTATTAAAACTACCAGAATTCCTAAGATAGAAAGTGAATTATATTAAATCATTAGCTTTTCTCCATATTAATAATCAGGGAGCAATACAGATGGAAAAAAGTATTCCATCACAGTAGGCAAAAGCCATAAAACGCTTAGGAATAAATTTAACCATAGAACTCATATAAATAATTTATAATGTCTTATTGGAGGACCTAAAAGAAGTCTTGAGTAAATGGAAAACCATTTTTTATCCTCTGGGGGAGGATTAATATCATAAAAATGTCAATGCTCCCAAACCTTACATTTAAATTTAATGCAATTATACTTTAAATCCCAATGGAACGCTTTCTTTTAGGCAGGGACAGGAGAGAGCTGGATAACGCGAATAAATATTTCATGTGAGAGAATAAATTCCAAGACTGGAAAAGTATTTTTTAACAAGTGAGGGAGACTGATTTATTTAGATACTGATGATACCCAAAATTAGTTTCAACCAGAACCTCACCCCTCATATCAGACTCACTTGTGCAACTGACAACAGATGTCTCCACTGGCGTCTAAGGGGGCATCTCAAACCCAACAGGTCCACACCTGTTAGCTCATTTAATAAGTGGGCCTGGAATAAGTTAATTTCCACGTGGGGGCGGGGGATGCTTGACTCTTGCCTTACAGGTTATACTAAAATATATTCCATAAGGACTACAGGTAGTCTAGTAAAAAACAGAAAATCAAACATTGCAACAAAATGTAAGCGAATATAGGGGGAAGGAGAGAAAAGAGAAGGGGATTGATTTCCCCAAGCATGATAGGAATCCTCAAACTTTAAAACATTTACCTTCCAACAAACACCATAAACCAACCAAAGGACAAACATAGAAAACGGACCAATGTCGTGAAGTCCAAGAGGTTTCAGGAGCTCGGCCTCAGGTCAAAAGGCAGGCAGGCAGGCTAGCTGGCTCTTCTGGACAAAAGGAAAAACACGCAGCTTCCTTTCCAAGTGTTCTACCTTGCAGAAATCAAACAGCTGACCCTAAGGACATCTGTTCAACAAATGTTTTTCCGAATGACCCCCTCAAACGCTAGAAAACAACCAGAGGGAAAAGATTTCATCTGCACTTTTACTTAATTAAAACGCAGCAGCCTGGAGGGGAAAAAAAATCCTCGCTCTTCTCCTTGGGGTGCGGGTGCGCCCTTGCTCTCCCCCTTCTACCTAAAAGATGCGAGGAAACCCTCAAAGGCCGCAGCCACCTGCACCAAGCCCTGAGCGCCACCACCGCAAGCTCGCGAGGCTTCCAAAGCGCATGCGCAGGTCACAGTGCTCGTGCAGCGCGCCAGCAAAACCGCGCATGCGCTGAGTCATTTCCGCCTCGAGCGTGTGCGGGGTAGGGGATACTCTCCACAGTTCGCAACCGTTAGCTGGTTATGAACCGTTCATAACGGGCGTTCATAACCACGCCCTATTAGACTGAACGTGGTCCACCCGCGAAGCGTCTAGAGAGATGGCCAAGTGCTGGAGTCCTGGCTGCGTCTTCTGAGCCAGGTGAGAATTTACAACCCGCCTTCGGCCATGTGTTGTGCTGTGTTCGCTAATGATTAAGCATCAGAAACTCTGAACCTTCTGACAAAGGGCTTCTCCCCAGCTCTCCGCAGTGCCCCAAACCTAGCGGGACAGATCGGTTTACATGGTGGGGCACCGGGGAGGGGAGGGAGAACCCAGAGCTTTCAACAAGGGAAGAAGTGATGTGGAGAGGGACAATTAGGCCAGGCTCGGTGGCTCACGTCTGTAATCCCAGCCCTTTGGGAGGCTGAGGTAGATGGATCTCTTGAGGCCAGGAGTTTGAGATCAACCAGGCCAACATGGCGAAACCCCGTCTCTACTAAAAGTAAGAAAATTAGCCGGGCGTGGTGGCGCGCGCCTGTAATTCTGGCTACGAGAGAGGCGGAGGCAGGAGAATCGCTTGAACCCCGAAAGCGGAGGTTGCAGTGAGGCGAGATGGCGCCACTGCACCCCAGCCTGGGGTGACAGAGCCAGACTGTCTCAAAAATAAATACATAAAATGAAGTAGGGGATTAGAGCTGGCCATGGCTTCACCGGAAACCTGCAGTTACTGTAGCAGAAAGGGGCCTTCGAGAATCACTGGAAGCATCTCAACATAGTGGTGTGAGCACCCTCCCCCTTACCTTCCAGGCCTTGGCAGGCAGCTGCTGACATGCCAGAGCCCTAGGAAGTGCTGAAGGCACCTGGGGTTCAGGCCCTCTGGAAGCCCAGCCCCCCCTCACCCTTCGGGGATACTGGAACTGGCCAAATGGTTAGGCCAATGAGGATGGCTGCTGGGTAAGCACATTATCCCCACATCAGACAAGTAAGTAGCTGAAGGCCTACAGGTAGAGGTGGGGACCAGTGAATCTTGGAAGCAAAGACTGGGTGGTCAGGACATCAGGGGGCTCTGGGCTTCAACCAGAGCAGCTCCAGGACTACTGGCTTTCCATATAGGCTTCTGGAGACATTTTAGGTGGATAACAGGCCCTGAGGCTGAATAAGCTGGAAAGCCTCTGCCATCATCTGACTCCTTTCTTTTAGAGGAGGAACAGGGAGCCAAAATGGGCAGTGACTTGTCTGAGGCCTTGCCAGCTTGAAGAAGGAAATGTCTGCTGAACCCATCAGTGGCCCTGGTAAGGCCTGGTGCATTGCAAGTTACTGGATGAAAATGGTGACTGGCCAGGTACGGTGACTCATGCCTGTAATCCCAGCACTGGGAGGCCAAGGCAGGTAAATAACTTGAGGTCAGGAGTTTGAGACCAGCCTGACCAACATGGTGAAACCCTGTCTCTCCCCAAAAATACAAAAATTAGCCAGGCAGGGTGGCATGCACCTGTAGTGCCAGCACCTCGTGAGGCTGAGGCAGTAGAATTGCTTGAACCCAGGAAGCAAAGGTTGCAGGGAGCCGAGATCCACTCCACTCCAGCCTGGGTACCAGAGCAAGAGTCCGTCTCAAAAAAAGGAAAAAGAAACAACTCCAAATGTCCATAAATAGGAGACAGTATATCTAAGACAATGAAATGCTTTGTGGTTCTGAAGAATAAAGGAGACCCATGTGGGTTATTCTGAAACAGGTTCCAAGCTATACTAAGATAACAGGCAGAAATGGAACAGAGTGGAAGTGTGTGCACTTAGGGATACTCTCCAGGGAGAATTCAGGGATTGGGTGGGAAAAGGGAAGCTTGTTTTTCATGGTCTAGCCTTTTAGATGGTTTTAATGTTTACCATGTGCATGTGTCACTTAAAAACAAAACACCATAGGCCAGGCATGGTGGCTTACACTGTAATCCCAGCACTTTGGGAGGCCAAGGTAGGTGGATCACTTGAGCTCAGGAGTTAAAGACCAGCCTAAGCAACATGGTGAAACTCTCTACCAAAAATACAAAATAATTAGCCAGGAGTGATGGTGTGCACCTGTGGTCCCAGCCACTTGGGAGGCTAAGGAGGGAGGATCACTTGAGCCTGGGAGGTGGACATTGTAGTGAGCCGGGATCGATGCCACTGCACTCCAGCCTAGGTGACAGGGCGAGACTCCCGTCTCAAACAAAACACCTTAAAGTTCCCACCCGTCTCGTTCCTTTAACACCAGCGTTGCTGCCCTTCACTCACTCTCTTGCAACCTTGGGCAAAGGTTCTTCCCACCACCCATCAGCCAAACCATCTTCCTCCTCCCAAATCATCAGGGAGTTCCAAGCTGGTCACCTCTCCCTTGATGTTCCCAGGAAATCAGGAAAGGGGACTCCTGCATTTTATCTTTCCATCCAGAGTGGCAGGATCTCTGCCTGGGAAACAAGCTGCTGCATTCAGCACAGCTGTGGTAGCATTAACACAGCAAAGTGGGCACATCTAGAAGTTGAAGCTAAAACATTCAGGAACTCCAGTCTGTTTCTGTGGATGTTAAGGGGGGTGAAGATAAAACAATGGAGGTGATGAGGAGGAGGAATAACTTGAAGACAGTGTAAAGCCACAGTGGTACAAAGAATGAAGCGGAGGAAGGTGCTGGATTTTACTAAGAAGAAAACAGACTGAGTTCAGGAGTCTCACCAGTAGAAGTTTATAGTATTGCATTTTGATTACATGTGTGTGAATTTTAAAAATTATTACCCTTCAGTAAGAATGCAGAACCAACTTTCATTTAGATTAAAACATTAGGTTTGTGGACAAAAGTTGACCCCATGCTGCCTGAGATGGAGAGAGAGAGCAGGTTGGCAGAGGAATCACCAGCTCAAGGAACCCCAAGACTTGGACAGTCTTCCAGCAGAAGAGGCCAGGGTCTCTCAGTGTACTACCCCAAACAGGCCTCTCCCAGAGATGTAGTCTGGAAAGGCCCAAAACCCACCAGGTACAGGCATATCCAGTGGGGAAAGACTTCCCATTCCAGAAGTCCACCTCTGCTTCCTAGTCTTCTGCTGACCTCAGAGCAGCAGGGTGGCCATTGCTAAATTGCTAATCTGGGTTAGGGAGATGCCAGAAACACACCCAAGTTTGAACCACAGGTTAATGGTACAAAGTCATATAGTCCTTGTGCCTTCAGAAAACCCAGGGGCCCCAAATCCAAGTGGGAAGAGAGTTGGGAAAAACTGAACCAGATTCTTCCAATGGCCATTAAAGAGAAAATTCAGCAACCCTTGCCTTTGTCTTTGACCCTGAGAAGTTAAGGGACACAGATTGTGGTGCTGTGATGGGACATGGAAAGTATGGTGTGCTTCCTGTAGAGATGCCTTTGGAGTCCCTGTGGCCAGGGGACCTCACTGGCCCCCTCCTCAGGCACCTTGATGGGGCTCAGTGGGGCCAGGCCGAAGGGAGGAAGTAGAAAAGTATCATCAGGCTCTCCAGATCAACGGGCACCATCCAAGGCCCTGCTGCACCCAAACATGGAGGCCTCCACCACCAGCTCAGCCCCAGGGGTTCTTTCACACATAAGCTCCTTCCCTAAGGAGTCCTGTAGAGTTCGACAGTGTACTACCCAAGTCAGAGATTCACCACAGATCTGTCTCCTCCTCAACCTGGACTCAAGTTACTAAGGTGAGAAACTTCACTGTCCATGGTTAACTGAAGAAATCCTCCTTCAGAGAGAACGTGAGGGGTAGATGAGGTGGTTAGACAGGGAGGATCTTTTTCCCCAAGCTGTTTGGACAACACCACGGCCAGGACCAACTCTGACAGCTGCAAGAGAGCCCCTCCAATGTGGAACCTCCTACACATAGCCTTGCTTTTGGGTCCCTGGATCTCAGCCCACAGCAGGGCCACTCTTGGGGGAACTCTCCCTCCCATCCCTCAGATCCCCACATTGTTCTTCCTCTAGGAGAAAAGTGTCGGCCCTGCCCCTGGATCTTCTCCAAGATGGCACTGGACTCGCCACTATCTTGAGGGGCCAGGAGCTGAAGTGGCTCAGGCTTAGCAATCCACTGTGGCCAAAGTGGAAAGGTTCTTTGCAGTCACCAAAAAAAAGAAAAGTATAGTCTCACAGGCACAGCATCTTCTTTTAAAAAATAAATATTTATAAACTTAGGGAGGAAGATTCAAAGAATCAGAGTATCTTTCCCTCCAAAAACACAAATGTCCCATGTGAGTTAAACCAAGGTATGACCACCAACCCATGAATGAAGCCCCCTCCCCCCTGCAGCTACAGAGTTGAGGGGCGGGTGGGCAGGGGAGCTACTCTTGCTCCTGTCTTCAGTCCCCCTTGGTGATGAGGTCCTCGATGTAGGCGTCCAGCTCGTCATCTGTGTTGATGTCTATGTCCTGGAATAAAGCAGGACATGGGTCAGCTGGGGGCAAGAAAGTGGTTGGGGGGCTCACCTTTCCACCCTTCTCTCAGCTCCTGAGATGGAGCCCAGAGTCCCCTTCCCTACCTCCCACTCTGCCCTGGCTGTCAGGCTTCTGTCCTGTCTTAATCATTATCCCCTCCCCCATCTTACTATGCACAGATGATGCCCAGATTTCCTACACCCACCCTGTCTGTACCCCATGTTCCCAGTTGTCATACTACAAATATGCCCACTTCTCTCCCTTCTGTTACCGCCCAAGGTCCATGCCACCACTATCTCACTCAGGCAACTGTGGGAGTTAGAACTCTGGTTTCACCCCCCCAGTCCTCCTCCAACCAATCAGGTAAGTGTCTGAGACTAAAAACTGCCACTCCCCTCCAGTGATCTCCATTGTTCTCAGGATCAAATCCCACAACTTTCAAGCTCCTGCCACCCCCAAGTCCCTGCTCAGGCCTCGAGTCCTGCTCTTCTTCCTTCTGCCTGGAATAGTCTTGTCACACTCTTTCTTTGCATGACTGGCTTCCAGTGTCTCCAAATGCCTGGGCCCCTGAACACCCTAGTCAAGTGGCCTTCCCACACTCCTTATGAACCACCATCGGTAATTCTGTCTCTTCTACCAGACTGGCAGACTGTGAGAGCAGGAACCTTCTTGTTCATTCCGTATCCACAGGACAGGCACAGAGCAGGCCCTCATGGTTACTGCCTAGATAAAGGACCAATAGGCTAAGGGGCGCTCCCCCCTTCTGGGCTACCCAGTTCCATCTGGGCGTCATCTGGAAAAGAACTTTGTTTTTATGGCTTGGAGGGTTCTCAAACCAGGCTGTACGTCAGAATGTCTAAACAAGGAGAAAAGCCTGGTTCTATGGGTCTGGCTGGGCTGAGGCCCAGGCAACCACACCATCTCAAGCCCTCCTGTGAGGGTGCTGTGCAGCCAGGGCGGGAATCATAGATTCCTGTGAGTGGATAGATTCTTGTGAGAATAGAACAGGAACAGGGCCCAGGCCCCCCTCCCTGAGAGACCAGGTGGTCCAGCTGCAACAGGAAGGCTGCCGGGCTCACCTCCTGCACCTTTTGCAGGAGTGCCACGATGTTGGTCCTCAGCTTCTGCAGCTTCTCCTCCGTCTCGCGGAGCTTCCTCTCAGAGGTGCGTAGGCTTTCCTCGGAGGCCTTGGCCCGGGAGTCAGCACGGCTCTGGTAGGAATTGCACAGGTTCTGGAGTCCCACTTCATATTGCTTGAAGTACTCTTTCTGTTGGGAGCACAGCAAGAGGGAGGGTGCATAAGTTCACAGGGGTCCTCAGGGCCCTTCTAGGCTGGCATCTCCAGCCTGCTCTGCCCAAGGATGCTTGGTCTGAAGGAACATCTTACAGATACAAAGGGCAAACAGCTTGTCTACATCTAAAGTAGGGAGACATCAATGACTATCTTGTGAGGCTGCCACAAGGATGAAGATACTTAGCACACAGGTAAAGCACTCAGCACAGTGCTCTGACAGACAGCAGACCGTGAATACATATGAGGGGTGATTCTTACCATTCCAAGTGGCAAAAAAAGGAGGAGAGAATCACTCTTACATAATCATAACCTGTCTGACTTCACTATGGCCCTTTCAGCAATGCATTTCCAAGACCTAACCAACAATGTCAGCACACAAGTCAGTTCTCTTTCCACCTACCAACCAATAGCAGATACCTCCAGATTTGTGTAGTGGCTTTTTACTATTTTCCTGAGTACCTGAAACCTCCAGGGGGTGAGGTAGGAAAGGAAACAAGCAGTTTTTCTAGTGGCTTTTCAAACTTGTAAAAGGGAGCAGAATACTTGTTTCAAATGAAATGTGACATGGAATCTCGGTGAGAAAAGCAATGCAAGTATCTCTTTAGGTTGAATTTCTTTTCCAAGTCAAATTTACATGACTTACTCCTAAAACATTGAGAATGATGAGCCCACTATGATGAACACAAAACCACAACCAGCAAGTGCTAGCTGGCTACTGCAGTCTTATCAACTCTAGTGTTTACCTCTGTAAAGATGCATGAGCTACCTAGCCTGGAGATGCTATTTTTAAATAGTATCTAGAAGTTATTGCTTGTTACTGACAAGTATTTAACTGTGTCATTCACCTTATCCTACTAAACCAAAATAGCAAGAGAAACGTCTAGTTCTACACAAAACAATAATTGCCTTGGCAGCACAAAATAAATGCTGGAGCAATCTCCAAAGTATTAAAATTCAGTATGCAACATCTTGAAAGTGGATATGGTTTGTAATAATTTTTTCTTAATTATTTTGAGGTAATGTAGATTCACATGCAGTTGTTATATTTCTTTGAAAAAATGATACTTGAATCTAATATTGCAAGGCTCCTGAAGCTCTATGGAACTCCTGATTCATACGGATAAAGGATATTTACAGACTGACAAGGACATAATGAACATTAGACTTTGTTTTATCCCTGATGCTAAAAAAAGGTAATAGTTTGGTTTTAGACATTATAATTAGCAGGACAAAGCTGAGACACTAGTATTATTCCTCCTTGTACAAAAAGAAGCAAATTTTTTTTGACACAGTCTCTCTCTGTCACCTAGGCTGAGTGCCATGGCACAATTTTGGCTCGCTGCAACCTCTACCTCCCGGGTTCAAGCAATTCTCATGCCTCAGCCTCCCAAGTAGCTGGGATTACAGGTGTGTACCCCCACATCTGGCCAATATTTTTTGCTTGTTTTAGTAGAGATGGGGTTTCACCATGTTGGCCAGGCTGGTCTCAAACTCCTGGCCTCAAGTGATCCACCTAGCTGCCTGAGCCTCCACACCCAGCCTAATATACTATTTTTAGATGCTCATGCTGACTTTGTTTTGGGCCCAAGCAGTCAAGCCCACTGCAGAGATCCTGCTGCACCTAGTCTGCATTCTGAGTTTAGCAATAACTTTAAGCCAAACCCAACAAATCTGACAAGATGGCAGGCCAACCCAGCCACCCTGTTAGCTGCTTTTCCTCCTGGGATCTGCAGAGAGCACCTGCAGCCTAAACAAGAACAAAAATTGAAGTGTGGATCTTTCTGTGAAGCAGCTGTGATTTCTGCACCTTCCAGCTCCCTCACCGAGCACAACCCCCTCATATCTTGCAAGGAAAGTAAGGCAGCATCGTGAGCAGAGCAAGTCCTAAGAAGTACCTGGGTTCAAAACTGGGCTCTCTCACTGACCAACAGACTCTTTACCTCTCTGAGCCTTAGTTTCTTATTCCAACTCCTGCTTCATTTCACGTTTTAAAAAATAGAATAATGACAAACTCCATGTTTTTATCTCTGGCAAACTTCAAGCACACAACTGCCCCATGAGTACCCAACATCTTGAATATACTAATCCTGCAGTTTCCATTCCAGTCATCTTTTCTCTAGAATCTCTTTCCTAGAAAACTTAGCTATTCCTATCATAGAAAAATAATCCCACTTGATGTAGACAATTCCCAGAGCCCCATCTCCAGCCCTGGTCTCCCCCTCCAAGTGCCAGTCCCTAATCTCCACCTGCACACTTTACATCACCAGAATGGTAGTGAGGGCACTTGCGGCACCACACAAACCTCCACTCGTCACCTTTGTTGGCATTCACCCATTTTTCTCTCCTAGCTAATAGCTTTGTCATCAACTTCCAATTCCCACAGGCCCGAGTCACTTGCCTACAATCTATTAATCAGTCTGCTGACCTCTGACACAGCCCTTTCACCCCCAAGCCCACTGCCACCACGCTGGCTCCTGTTCCCATTCTTTTACCTCTGACCTTTTACATAGGACCAGCCTTCTTGCCCCTGCGTCTCCTATGCACCCATCCTACCCAAACATGCTGCTACCCAAGTTACCCTCTTAGGGGCAGGGGCAGCAGACTACAGCCCCTGGGCCAAATGAGCCTGCCAACTGCTTTTGTAAAAAAGCTTCATTGGAACACAGCACATCCATTTACATGTTGTCTGTGGCTGCTTTTATGCTATAATGGCATTTGCCACATAGACTGTATAGCCTATGAACCTGAAATTACTTGCCAACTGGCCCTCTACAGACATGGTTTGAATGACAATTCCTGCAGCTGAAAAACATCAGATCCTGGCTTTCAGACCCCTCTGCCCTAAATGCTCATCACACAGCCTGCTGCCCTGACCCCTCCCCCAGAGCCTTTGCTCACAAAAGTCCCCATGTCAAACACTCCTTTTCACTTATACAGGCAGGCCAAAATGCACATTTTCTTCTGGCTCAGTTGCTTTCTCTGCCCCCGAGGCCGCCACAACCCTCCACAGCCCTTCTAGCCACTTTCTCAGCACTCACTGATCCTGCCCTCATGTCCAGCTACCTGGTAACAACTCAGTCTCTACTGAATCTTGAGCCACTTGAAGGCAAGACTCTCTTGCTGCTCACTATGAGGTCCAGCAGTCACCTGCTCGGGCAAGGCACCCCTTCAGCATTTGCCGAGTTAAGACCCAGTGCTTATGTCCACACATCACAAGCTTCTCTGTACCTCCCTCTGAAAGTCAAGTTTTCTGCACTTTGAGCCTCAGCTCTTCACTGTTGCCTGGGACAGGTTTACTCCCTCTGCTGGACGAGAGGAAAGGGGGTATTCTTGTCATAAAATGTCAAACTACACCTGCTGTCCCTAAGGGATGACTCAACTCCCAGCACCTGTGGTGGGAAGGGGT